CATACCATGAACGTCAGCAACGGCAGTTCTGTATGGTGCACGCTATTAACAACCTATTAGGCGACCGGTACATAGATCCCATGCACGTCCTCGAATACTGTGCAGCATTGGATCGACATATCGGAGAAACAGGACTATCCACGGTGCAAACCGTGTGGCGCCTCGGCTACAATGAACACACTGGCTACTACGCCTCAATGACCATCAATCATTACTTGCGGCACAACGTGCGCTTGCAGGCAGATGCAGAACTCCACAGCCCATACCTTGCATCAGTTAACACCGGGATCAAAGTCTCCCACGGGTCTAACATGGCCGATATCATCCACCAGCTACCACAGAACGCCAAACGACTTGGTTTCATAGTTCACCTCGAGAACCACGCAATAGCAGTAAAGCGTTGCGGTGCAAACTGGTACCTCCTGGACTCCAACGACGCGACCCCAAGGCTCATCGGAAGCACCTGGACAGCACCTGTTGGGACCATCTATCAGTTGGAAAACATCGATGTCCTAACAATTCCCTGCATCCCTTTTGCGCTCCGGCAAGTAACCCCACCTGGCGATTGGGATCACCCACAGGAACAACAGCAGCAGGACGACCGGAGCACTGGCAACCCCAACGCCAGTACCGCACCCACCTATGCTCAGGCCGTATCTGGTAGCACGGGACCGCTGACACAAAAGGCCACATCCGCCGACGGTCTATCTGCCCTGCCCAACTGAAGCAATGGGAGAGACCCCATCTTGAAAACGACCAGACCGAAGCGATCTCATGGCCTGCCCAAGTGGACGTGTGGGGTGGTGGGTGATAGTTGTGTGGCTGGTTGCATGAGGGCGGCGCGCGGGTGACCCTACTACGGATGCTATTTAAGCATGTATGGCATATATGTCCTATGCCAGTTCGGGCTACCCATCCTGCAAGGTTTGTTGCCCACACTTCGCTGAGGGTGTCATACATGGTATCCGTGACCTCTACCACTGAATGTTTGAACAGACGTCGCTCACAGCAGCAGCATGCGAACGAGCAGGTTTGGGAGAACGCTTCTCTGCACGCCTTCTCAGCAGCTTCGACACACGAGTGCGTGCTGGTGGTCGGGAGCCCAAGGCCGTCGGAATCCACATCTGCCTCGTTCTCGGTGCCGGGTTCGTCTTCATCTGAAAGGGCATGGCGCGAACCCAAAACTCCGTCATCTATGTATCTCAAGCAGCAAGTGTGCACTAAGGCTTATCCAACGTTTGTGCGCACAAATGAAGGCCGGAGCTATAGAACCTTTGTCAATGCCCCACAACTAGCTTTTCAAGGGGCAGTTGGCCTCGATTTTAGCCAGAGTTTTCTCCGCCATAGGGGAGACAGGCTTGTTACCGGTTGGCTTTCTAGATGGGGTCATTACGGTGTTGTGGAAAGGTAGGGGTGACCGTACACTAGCTGGTAACTACCGTCCTATTACTCTGTTGTGTACAGATTATCGCCTTCTTGCGAAGGTACTTGCATCACGCGTTGGGCTGTCTCTAGGTGACGTGATTACTTTAGAGCAGTTGGCGTTCCTTCCTTGTAGATTAATTGGTGCCAATGTGCTTTTTTTGCGTACACTTCCGCATTTGCTTACTCACCAGGGGCGCTCCGGCATGGTAGCTTTCTTGGATTTTGCTAAGGCGTATGATACCTTGGATCGGGCTTTTCTGTTCTCGGTCATGGATGCAATGGGGGCTGGGGCAGGCCTGTTGAAGTGGGCTAAGCTTCTGCTCAGTGACACGTGTGCTGTTGCGGTTGTTAACGGCTACAGGTCGCAACGGGTGTGTATGGAAGCAGGTGTACGACAAGGGTGTCCTTTGGCGCCTTTGCTGTACTTGTTTGCTGCGCAAGCCCTTTTGTGTTGGTTACAGCACTGCCAGGTTGGTGTGGCGCTTGATCGGTTGGATTCCTCCCTTACCACAGCTGTTCAGTTTGCTGATGACACTGAAGTGGTGTTGCGAGGGCCTGATGCGGTGGGGGATTTCCTCCAGCACATGGAGACGTTTGCGAAGGCGTCGGGTCAACGCTTGAATTTGGACAAGGTAGAGCTCTTGCCAATAGGGGTTCAGACGGGTACTGAGGGGCAGCAGGTTATTCATGGAGTGTCGGTAGCTCGTACGGCAGTGGCGCTTAATGTGCCTTTTACTAACTCGGACACGGTTCCGGGTCTTGACTGGAGCAAACGGTTTCAGGAAGCGGAGAACCGCTTAGGGCCTGGTCACATCTACCTGTATTCGCCCGTATTGGGCGCGAAAACGGGTTGAATGCGGCTCGAATACGGGTCTAGCGAATTCAGGTCTTGGGGGTGGATTGGCAGCCGTATTCAACCCGAATTTGGTGAATTCATCCCAACCAGCCAACACAGCCTACAAAACAGTTGCCAATGAGACTTACATACATATGTATGAGTGGTATTATGCCTAATTGAGTTGGGTAGAGCAACGTTCCGGCAATGGGCTTCACATTGCATGGCCAACACCAGCGATACATTAGCATCCGTTGGCCACAAGTACATTGTTGTTCTTTTCTGATAACTAGGAATCTCTTATAGCTATCCCTGCGGCTGAAGCATGGCGAAAGCCTGCGATCATAGTGGTAACGTTGCATGGTACCGGTAGTGGCCTCCAAATTTTGTGCATCCGCACCAGATAGAGATAGAGATATGGCCGTTATTGGCAAAACATTAATGTGCATGGCCTCTAGGGGATGTCTCTGAGCTCATTATGCCAGTGACACTACGAATGCAGGTCCTGTACGCCAGAACGCCACTCCTGGCATGTGACCAAAATCGCCGAATTTGAGTACCTGCATTCGCACACATGTGACCAGGCCCTTACAGAAGTTGGCTCGCCTTCCACTTTCCATTTTTGGTAGGGCTACCGGCGCAGCTGCTTATGCTTTGCATACGGTAACTTGGCACATGGAGCATTCCGGTTTGCCTCCGGGTGATCAGTTGGACAACCTGGGGAGGTTGGTGGCTAAGTTTATTGATCGGCACCAGGGTCCGCAGGATAGGGAGCGTCGTGCCACGGGTGTTCCGGGTAGGCTGTTAGCAGGTCACCCCAGGGCAGGGGGTTTGGGGGCCTTGCCTTTGATTGAGCATATTCGGGCCCGTTTTGCTTGTTGGGGTGCCCGTTTAGTTTGTTCCGCCGTGATGCCAAGGGATTCCTTACATCCCTGGCAGCGTGCTTTGCTTCTGTACCTTCGGCGGTTGCATCCGGCTTTTGGTCCCCTATCATTGTTGACAGCGTCCAGGAGGGGGCCTTGGTTGGGTGTGGATGGTTTGCCTGTGGATATTCGTCGGGTTGTGACTTCTATGGCAGTTTTACCGCCAGTTACTGACATTGGGTCGGAGCCTTTGGTACCGGGTAGCTGGTGTTGGGGTGTTCCGTTGTGGGGTAACCCTTTCTTGCCGGTTGGGCTGCCGGGCCAACCTGGTGTGTTGGGTTTGGAACACCACTATCCGGTGCTCGTTCATTGCCATGCCCTGCGTTCATTGGGTATGTGTGTGGCTGCCCTGGCTCAACTTCGTTGTTTTGAGGACACGTGGGATTCAGTGTTGTTGAACGGTGTGTCGGGGGTTGCTGAGGGCAGGGTGATGGAGAGGTGCTGGTCCGCTCTTGTACGTCGGTTTTTGGACCCGGCGTCCCCGGATGCCTGTGCTCTTTGTTCGTTGCCTAGGTGTCGTGATCTTTTGACGTCTCTTGAGTCGTTGTTGGGTGCGGTGCCTGTGGCTTGGGTGGAGGCTGCTGAGACTTTTCTTGTTGATGCCTTGCCGCCCCAACCTCCGCCGGCTTCTGAGGTTGATGCTTGGCAGGTTTTGGTTCCGCGTTTGGGGTGCCAGTTGCCTCATGTTGGCGCTGTTCCTTTGAGGAATCTGTCGGTTCGGATGGCTACCGTTCTTCAGCTTGGGGGAGTGTTTGAGGAACGTGCTGTTTTGCATGCGGTTTTTGGCCTGCCCTTGATTCCAGGCGCTCCGCTAGGCCGCGGCTTGGAAGCAAGGGAACAGCCTTAGTGAACACCCCGGCAAATTGTAGAAGTTTTTGCGTGAGATTTTTGGCATCTTTTTCGTGCAATAGGTTTGAAATTTGAATGTGTACATGCAAGTCACAAAGACAACCTGCGATGTGGCTCCAAGTCAAGAACGATTGTTATGAGTTGAGAGGAGTTTCTGGCTGCAGCGTTCGTCACATAATCATGGCACAGGTGTTGGTTGTATTGTAATGTTAAAATAATGATATGTATATGGGTGAGCAGTGATGTTGGCCTGTGTCGTACAAAGTACAAAGCAAGTCAGGGTACGAGCGGTAACTGCTGGGCCCTTTGCGGAAAGTTTCCGCATTCCATGGCCCTTTTCGGAAACCTGGCGAAACCGGCGAAACATGGCGAAACCTCAAAATGCTATTTTATAGCCAAGAAATCCGTCCTATTGCATTGTTATACAATCCTTATGATACCTTTACGCCCTCCTAGCAATGCTCCCCACAAAACGCCGGTCAATTCAGCCCCAAACTGATAGAGAACTGGGGAGGGTTGTGCATGTAAGTGCTCTGGGAGGTGTCGGTTGCATGGCCGTTACCTAGCGATCGCAGAGACTCCCCATTTCTTAATGTGGTAAGCAGTCCAACCTAATTCCAACCTAATATCAGACACCGCATGCTTGCCTCCTAGCGGTCTCCTTGTTTGACTTTCCGCCGTACAGCCTGTGCGGAAAGTGGCGGAACCGGTTCCGCCTTTCCGCAAAACTGGGACCGCTGATGCGGATACTGCGGATACCATTTCCGCAGGTTTCCGTTTCCGCACGTTTCCGTTACCGCTCGTACCCTGAAGCAAGTTACAAAAGAAGAGGCCTCTAGCGCATGTTGATAGCTTGCTACACGTTGGTATCCGTTAGGTTGTTGTCGCGGTAAGGCCAGCAGCGTAGTTTAATAGGGCCGACACAAAGGGCTTTGGTATTGCCTTCATTACTCAGTACACACAATGGCCAGGGAATGCAGGAAAACATATGAAGTTGAGGCTCTGTGTAAAGCAGCCGAGACTATTGCTTCTAGCGGACTGAAACTTACTGCCAAGCTATTGTATGATGAAGTGTGCTCCGACACGCGCTTGAAGGGCTTGACGTATAAACGTGTTCTCAGCTTTTTGCAATACAACAAAGCCGGGCAAAAGTATATCCGGCCTAGGCCCAACGCTACCACTCAGCCTTCGAAGAAGCGTTCAAAGTGGACTCCGGACGAAGAATCAGCGTTTCAGGAAGCAGTGCTCACGCTACAATCCACCAACAGAAAAGTAACAGCGGGCGCTGTCGTAAAGGAGTTGAATGGAAGTGCTCCACGTACAGTCAAGTGCACTACCGACTTGGGCAGTTGGCGAAAACTCAGCGTCTTCTATGTTCATCAGAGGATAATGGAAACGTCAGCAACAATAGCGGTGTGGAGGATGGTGAATTGGTAGGTTATTGGTTGTTTGCCAATATTTGCTAGTTGTGGGGCATTGACAAAGGTTCTATAGCTCCGGCCTTCATATAAGCGCACAAACGTTGGATAAGCCTTAGTGAACACTTGCTGCTTGAGATACATAGATGACAGAGTTGTGGGTTCGCGCCATGCCCTTTCAGAGGAAGACGAACCCAGCACCGAGAACGAGCCAGATGTGCATTCCGACGGCCTTGGGCTCCCGACCACCAGCACGCACTCGTGTGTCGAAGCTGCTGAGAAGGCGTGCAGAGAAGCGTTCTCCCAAACCTGCTCGTCACTCTCCTAAGCAGCCTCGTCAGCCCAAGCATGACTCCCACACACCGCCATCATAAACAGCCGCGAAAACGCACCCAACCACCCCACCACACCGTCACCCCCCCATGCTACACACCCATTTGGGCAGGCCATGAGATCGCTTCGGTCTGGTTATTCGGGAGGCCTTGGGGTTACCTGCTACCCAGCAGCTTCCTGAGGGTGTCTTGGATGGCCTTCGTGATTCTTTCCAGCGTCTTTGGTCGATTTGTTGGGAGAATGGTTTCAAGGAAGCGTTTTGGCGTCTTTCTATTGATGGGGTTCCCTTGCTGGGGAATTCTCATATGTCTAGGGCTCGTCCGGAATGTTGTGGTTGTGGGTCCGTTGTCTTGGGGGTGTCTCCGCGGTTGCATTTTTTCTGGGCTTGTCCTGTTGCTCGTACTGTGGTTGAGCAGCTTGAGGTCACGCTGGGTGTTGCGGTTCCTCGGGCTGCCTTGTGGTTGGCGTTGCCTCCTTCGGGCGTGCAGCAGTGCGTTTGGGATGTTGTTGTTTTGGCTGCTTTGTCCACTATGGAGGAGGGTCGGCGGTTGTTACGGGCTCGTGTCCGTGAGTCCGGTTCTGCGGGTGTTGTGCCTGGGCTTGCTGATGTGGTGGCCCTGTCTGCTGTTTCCTGGTTCTGGGGTCAGCTTCGGGGTTTTGCTTGTTTGGGTGTTCCCCGTCGGGGATGGGCTGGGGTTGGCCCTTCTCATCCTTTCTTACGTATTGTTGGCGGGCGGCTTTCTGTGGGCCGTTGAGCGTCCTGTTTTTGGCCCTGTTGTCTTTGGGGTGGTGTGTTCGTGGCTTCCGGTTTGGGTTGTCTTATGCCCTAGATGAAGTTTGTCGAGGTTTGCTGAGGGGCCTATTTTGGCTTCTACCCTCTTGTTTCCCTCCTGAGGTTTCTTTTAGGGCTATGTCTCCCATCTTGTTGGCCCGTTGTGGTGCTGTCTCTACGGTTTGTTCCGTTTCTTTTGCAATGTAGGGTTGGGTTCATCACCCGTGTTCCCTTTTAGGGCACCATTGTAACGGTCATTCATTCAACTAGCAAATATTGGCAAACAACCAATAACCCACCAATGTCACCATCCTCCACACCGCTATTGTTGCTGACGTTTCCATTATCCTCTGATGAACATAGAAGACGCTGAGTTTTCGCCAACTGCCGAAGTCGGTAGTGCACTTGATGGTACGTGGCAGCACTTCCATTCAACTCCTTTACGACAGCGCCCGCTGTTACTTTTCTGTTGGTGGATTGTAGCGTGAGCACTGCTTCCTGAAACGCTGCTTCCTCGTCCGGAGTCCACTTTGAACGCTTCTTCGAAGGCTGAGTGGTAGCGTTGGGCCCAGGCCGGATATACTTTTGCCCGGCTTTGTTGTATTGCAAAAAGCTGAGAACACGTTTATACGTCAAGCCCTTCAAGCGCGTGTCGGAGCACACTTCGTCATACAATAGCTTGCCAGTAAGTTTCAGTCCGCTAGAAGCAATAGTCTCGGCTGCTTTACACAGAGCGTCAACTTCATATGTTTTCATGCATTCTAAAAGGCAAGGGCTAGCCGTATGGCCGACAGCTAGGAAGTCTGCAATGGCTAAGTGCAAGTACTCACAGAGCGAAAGTTCCGTCAGCTTGTCATGCCCCGCCGCGTGGAGCGGCGCACCCCTAAGAGAAATTTTTTCGCGACTCAGGGGCAAGCCACTTTAAGCCTAAATGCTGCCCTAGGACCTTAGATGTCGCTGCTGTTGTTATGTAGTGCCGTGAGGAGCCGACACACTACACTGTGACCTCACTACCTCTGCTACTGTGTGTGTAATCAAGGCTACTATTGGGGCTATGTACCGAGACTTGTAAGCGCGCGGAAGTAACGTAACAGGGGCTCCAGTATATCCAAGTACTTAAGACCTCCTAAGCCTCAGCGGGTGTTGAAGGTTCTTAGTTACCGTTGCCGTACTGAGTACTTGCGTGTCAAGGGTTGACAGAAGGACAAGTACAGGAGAGCAGAAGGGCTGTGACTGCCTGGGAAACCGTGTAGATATGAAGGGCCCTGGCGTTGCGACCCTCAGCAGAAGAGGGGAAGGAACTTGACCTTCAGTTGTTACCAAAGAGAAGGGAGAAGGACTGTCGGGCCTTGTCCGGACCCACTTGTCTTGCCTCTTAGGGTGAAGACTTGTTCGGGTTAACTAACATAACACAAAAAGCCTTCTTTTATATGAACCGTAAATGTACAACAATAGTACGACAACTTGTGCAACGTAATTCTAAACCTACTATTGGCCTGCCAGAACCTACTACGGAGGCCGCCAGAAGCTGCCAACGTAATTTTAGAACAATCTGGACGCTCTAGAACGTTCCAGAGGCCGATCGCCAACTTCGTCCAACTTCCCGTACTCGGCTTCGGAGGCCAACGGATAGACCCACGGGTCAAAACTCTTTTAAACCTACCGCAAGCCCTTCAAACATAACCTACTCATATAGCGACACTAAATCAATGTAAGTTCCAACTCACAGCTTATCACAACAGCGAATTGACACCGCATGAGTAAGGCGATCGACCAACAGTACGGCGAAGACCACGCGATTTAAGTGCAAACGGTGTCAGCTAATCCGCATAAATCAACAGTGTATCGGTACGTCCAAGCGGTACTATCAGTACCAACTTCGCGATGACTGCTGCAAATCTCGGGAATCCAAGGGAAAACAAGCTCACGGGGGCAAATCAGTATTTATCTTCTTGGAACGTATTTATATCATGGACTTTTATCGTTCCTGACATAAAGACAACCGACAAATCCTGACCGCTTCCGCAACAAACCGCGATCAGTGCAAGCTGTTCCCGTCAGAAGCAGCGCACTAGTAGTCGTTTACCTATTTACGGCAATGACCATGACAGCTGTCATGCCCTTCCCCTGCTAGTGTGGGCCGTCCCGGACCGCTCGTCACGCCCGTACTAGCGAGGCATGACCTCTACCACGCAAGCCTCTTGTTCAGGCTGACTCCTTCGAAAACAACACACCCGTAACCACAGCACCCACCGCAGCGTATTTAACGGAAACAATACCTCCGCCCGCAATTCCGCCAACGCTCGAACATCAACCACGCCTGCCGACCCTGCAACACTTTGGCAACTTCGAGGCTCGGGACTCGGTAAGTAGTATTTATGGAAAGACAATCATGCCGCCAACTTTAACGCACCGCTCAGGCTTCTCGGCAAAATGCACCGTAAACCCTAGGGCGTGCATGGTGCGCTATGTTGGTGCCCGCTCTGGCGCAAGTATTCTCAGCATTGCAACAGAGGCAATGGAAGCACAGAGCATTACTCCCGACACCGCCCTGTCTCTCCTCAGCCATTTCCCTAATATCCTCCAACCTCCCCCTCCTTTCTTGCCATCCATACTTCCGCCACGACGCTACCTCTTTCTCCCCTTTCCCTTTTCCAACCGAGCTCCGACCCTAGCCCTTCCCCAACTCATCTTCTCAACGCAGGCTAGGAGAGCTCCCTTGGCCTTGCCCCGCCGGCTGCTTAGTCGTCAACTGCGGCCGCGACGCACACATCCATCGCGTCGGCCAGCGCCGCGTGGACGTCCTCGTCCTCCAGCATGTTGTAGGCGACGTCCGCCGCGATGGCAAGCGCGTGGACACGCCCCAGCGCGAACACTGGGCGGCCAATGATGTTGGAGAACTGCTGGAGCTCCTGCGGGCCGTCTCGTCCCCAGCCCGCGTCGTCGCAGACTCGGTAAGCAAACCTTGCTGCCGCCGTCGGCCCCCAGCGAGGTGCGAGGATCCCTGCTATCAGCAGGCGGCACACGTACTTGTCCAGGGACTGGTCGGGGTTCCGGTTAATAATGACCACCGGAGCCGGCTGCAGTGGCAGCGGCTGCTGCTGCTGACGCGGTGGGTCAGGCGGCTGCTGCTGCTGTTGAGGCGGCGGCACAGCGTTAAACAACAGCGGCTGCGGCAGATGCGGCGGCTGCTGCTGCGGCTGAGGCGGTGGCAGCTGTTGCGGCTGGGGCGGCGGCGCAGCGTCAACCAGCAGCTGCTGCGCCAGCGGGTGTTGGAACGGCGTGGGTAGCTGCTGGAGAGGCTGTGGCATGGCGCCCGACGGGGAAGGCTGCGGCTGCTGCTGCTGCGGCGGCGGTGACCCGTTCTCCTCCAGCGCCGAGTTGACAATCTCTCCTTCCTCCATGTCAGACCGCACTCCGCCGGCGCTCTCAGTAACGGGCGAGTACCGCGGCGGCGGAGGTGCTGACGTGGCGGAACCCGATGCAGCTGCTCCGGTCCCTGGGCCTGCGGCGGGTGGCGGCTGCGCCCACCTCCCGTTCCCAAACATATCGAAGAACTCATCGAGGCCGTCAGGGGCCCACGGCTCCCGCGGTGGGTCCTCCAGTCCCCGTATGAGGCCGTCCATCCTCAGCAGCGGGCCCAGCGATAGTGACTCCTCCTGCTCAGGCTTACGCACCGGCTGCGGCAGCGGTGGTGCTTCGCCTGGCGGCTGCTGGGACGGCAGTGACTTGGCGTTCTCGGGCGGCTCGAAAGCAGGAGGAGGCGTAGCTCCACCGCCCGCGCTGTCGTCCTCCTCCATCTGAACCATGAGGATGTCTGGTGGCTGAACGGAGGCGCCGCCCGACCTAGTGTCGGCGGAAGGCGAACCGCTGAGGCTGCCAGAGGCCGACGAAGCGATGTCAGTAAGGTAGGTCTGTGCCGCAGCGGACCGGACAGCGTTCTTGCGCTTGCTAATTCGGCGGCTGCGCGATCCGTTCCCCATCGCCTTGTAGCCAGGCATCACCTTGTCGGCTAGACGGTAGGAAAACATGACGCTACCACGGTATAGACCAAAATTCGACGGCACTCTGCCTCCAGTGATCATTTTTGCCTCAGCTTGACGAAGCGGTTTATGGAGAAGGGCAAACTTTGGGTTTGTTGCCGTAAAAAAATTGCCTACGTCCGAGTGTTAGTTGTTTATTGGCGCTATTGAAGGAAGAGGTCAGGCGCCGGCGTTCTCTCTCTCCACCCTAGCAAATACTGCTTTCGTACTGGTGACCCATGGGACTCTCGCCCACCGGATCTTGAACCTTAATGCCGCCGGACCAGAATCTTTGCCGCCTGTTGCTTAGGCCTTAAGCCGACCACTGGTATTACTACTTGTCATGATTCTCTATCTTTCTACGGTCGCAGATTGCCAGTGGCTGTCCTCCTTCCGCTGCTCAGGAAAACGGCGACCAGCGCTGCGTGTGACCACCACACGCAGCGTGTGCCCCAGGCACGTAGGCTCCTGCCTCGGGTACGCAGGCGTGTGCCTGGCGTGTGCCTGGCGCGCGCGTTGCTGACGCTGGCGCGTGTCCTAGCGTGTGCCACCCCTTCGCATACGGTCACCGTCCACAAGGCGCCCACTCATCGTCCCAAGGTTGACACAGAACTGACTGGGCTCCTACTCCTGTCTAGCTGATAGCCGACTCATAGCGGTTGGTTCTCAAAGCAGTCGTACTCCTTCCCCATCCGCCAAACAGGGACGGCACCTCCATGATTGATTTTTCTGCTGCGGCTGTCTAGCGCGCCATGTTGCAGGCACCCACGCGCCTACTTCCCTCGAGGCGGCGGGACATAGAGCTGGTGAGTAGGAACGGTGAAGAGGGTCCCGTCGCCTGTTTTGACCAAAGCCATAGTCCCTCGTGGGTTCCAGCAGTAGAAAGCAAACGGGCCTTCCCTATCCGGCGCTAGCTTGGCGATGCGCTTGATTTGTCGGTAGACCGGTGCTCCCTCTGGCAAGTCAGGCAGATGCCGTAGTGATGCCAGGTCCTCCCCACGTACCGCCGGTACGCACGTTACTGCCTTGTTCTCCATAGGCTTAGGTCGGGCGGCGCTGGCATCCTTCTCGCGGCCGTAGACCTCCTGCGCTCGCGCGACGTGAATGCTGCTGCTGGCGACTTGAGCCCTTGCCTCTGCTCTTCCCGGTGCAGGCATGGGCTGAGGCTGTCCTGCGACCAGATGTTGCGGCTGGGCGTCTCCTTCGTCCCGTTTGCCAGCGCTGCTCCGTGGCTCGGCCTCCAAAATTCGAGTAAGTGAGGGTTGTTTGTCTACGGACGGGCCCGCTCGTTCGACAGAAGCCATAGCGCGCGGGTAAGGAGTTGGAGGTCTTGACTCCCCACGGGCTTTAGAGGGCTGTCGACGCCGCTCGTGCC